AATTTCTTTCTATTTTTAGTAGAGACGGGGTCTCGCTCTTGCTCAGACTGGTCTTGAATTCCTAAGCTCAAATGATCCTCCCACCTTGGCCTCCCAGAGTGCTAGTGTTACAGGCGTCAGCCACCGTGCCCGGCCTAAAGCTACTACTTTAAGTGACACTTTGCAACAAGGTATAAGTATTGTTAACTATATTCATGCAAATGCAACATAGCATCATGAATTTCATAACATGCTAAATTTGAAAGATGAGGTATTCAGTATGAATTTGCCTTATCATTCTAAAGTGTGGTGACTATTGCAGGGACAGATGTTAGCCAAAATTTTACCTCTACAAGAACAGATAGTTAAATTTTATGAAGAACAGAATCAGGAATGTGAATTATTGAAAGAAGATTTCTATAGAAATGCAGCATTTCCGTGTGATATCATGTCAAATTGAAATGATTCAAATATTTCTTGGCAAGATAAAACTAAGTCTTTATGTGATATGTGGCAAAAAAAAAAAAACCCAAGCATTTTGAAAAAAAAGCTACCCCTTTTCAAAACACTTGTTCTTCAAAAGGAAATTTAGGATGAGCATTTTCCCCAGGTTAGCAAAGGTCATTGATGACCAGGATGATATATGTGAATCATTTGAAGAACACGCAGCTGTTATAGACCTATTAATTGGAGAATACAATGAAAGGGTCACTGACTTTGAGAATCATGACATCACACTCAAATTAGCATTTCAGTCTCACCTTGTTCATATCACCAAGGCACCTAAAGAACTACAGATGGAATTGATTGAGCTCTCAGTAGATGACATTTTAAAGTCATTATTGGGTATTAAGAAAGATCCAGTTGAAATATGGAAAAATGCAGTAGAATACCCATGCCTTTGGCAACATGCCCCGAAAATGCTTTCTTGGTTTTCAACCATTTATTGCCATGCATCTACATTCTCCCACCTAACCCAAACCAAGACGCCCTTAACGTTACACATGACTGATACCCATCTAGAGGATCAACTGAAACTCGGGACCTCCATGCCACAACCAAATATTCAAATGCTTTCCAACAAAAAGAAGACACAACAAGGTCATTAAAAGGTTAGTTAACTTTAAAATTAAGAAATAGTTTTCATTTTTTAAAATTATGGAGTCCATAGTAGTTAGATTTTTACAAAATAATGTACATTTTTAAGTATATCTAATGGAAGTTTCTTGAATGCGGCCTTATTTGATTACAGCTAAATTAATGTAGACTTCCAAAATGAAAAATTTCCCCACCCCTGATCTGGTTCCTACTATGCCTGAAGCTTTATTTATTTAAGTTAATGAAGTCTCTATTTTGGTCAACCTAGTTTAAGATGGGGTTTTATCACTAGCAATTGAAAAAGTCCTTACTAATAGAATGGACATGATATTGTTCTCTCTTCTATTATTCACTGGGCTTTCATTGCAAAATACTAAGTTA